TGTATAACAGAAAAGTAAGATGCCATTGTTGGGTGTATCCTAATAATTTAGGTTTCAAAACATTTATTCTAGTTGGTGCAAGCTGCACAAAGATGTTCATTTGCCGGTCCTATCAATTGCGGTGCGCTTCATTCATCGCTAAATAAGAAAAAGTGTTAGGCACACCCACTAATCCATTGAGCAACTTGTTTTATCTTACTCTGCAAATGGTAAACAAGTCAAATATCACCGACTAACATTATGTAATCTACTGCAAAATTATACTCTACACATCACACTAATGAGTAGGAAAATCAAGTTCGAAGGACCATGATTCTCCTATTAAGGCGATTCCCAATCGTCAACTACTACCTTAGCACCCTTCAGCAAATCATTGCCCCCCATCTTGCTGCGAAATTATAGCACTGTAACTGGCATGTAAAAGTTATACTGATCCATATTCACAAGACATTGAAGTCATAAGGATACCGAGAATATACGTATGCAAAAATAAAAAGCCAACAAAACACATTAAGTAGTAAACTTTTAACATAATCTGTGTGCACTCTAAGTTGGTCACATGAAGAAAAATCACCTATTATCCTCTGTTTTAAAAGGCCACAAGACGAGGTCCTCTGTTTCAAACACAAGACCCCTCTATTTTAAACACAAGCCAAAAGTCTCGATTCAAAACAAAGGTCAAATTCTTCAATGATCAACTTCGAGTGCACGCATAATTTTTTCATATATTCTCAATATCCTTGTGATTTCAATGTTTTTGTTTTCTGCTTTATTGTTGAATATGCAATAAGAAGGCTTTCACATGGCTATTACAGTGCTCAAGATTCGCATATGTTTTAAGAAAACAATTTACTGAAATAATTTGACTATATTATGGAAATATAAGAAGTACCTCGATTCTTCCTTCAATGTGGATGAACGGACAAAGTTAGCTTTTTTCTTATTGAACAGACATAGTTAGCCGTCTCTAATGACTTGTATAACTAAAAGTTTTGATCTTCCTGAGTTTATGGTTTTTATATATGAAATAAATATGATTGTGGAAACTACAAATATCTAAGGATAATCTTTAAACATTACAAGAGAAGCAGTTGTGGACGAAAAGTATTTTATTTTGATTTCTCTAACCACTGATGTAAATCCTTGAAAGTCTAGGTCTTTGTTTAATGTTTTTGGTAGGTGAAAGTCTTGGTCTTCCCGGACTTCAGTTTTCTCTTTCCATTATATCACTATTACTTTGCTTCGCCATAACCCTTCTTGTTCTCTACGGTGACTGATTCACCCATTTACTCTCTCCATTAGCTTATTATCACTTTACTTCACCCTAACCCTTGTTGTTCTCTACAGTTGACGGATTCACCCATGGCCATTGGGGAGATCCTATTGAGTGCCTTCCTTCAGGTCTTGTTCGAGAAGTTGGCTTCTCTGGGATTGGACTATGCGCAAAGAAATGGAGCACCACCCTTATCTGGAATTAGCATCGACCTGCTCAATAAGTGGAAGAAGATGCTGGACACAATCAATGCAGTGCTCGATGATGCAGAGGACAAGCAATTGAGCGGTAAAGGTCTGGTGAAGCTATGGCTGGAAGATGTTAGGGACTTGGCCTATGACATGGAAGACTTGCTCGATGAGTTCGCGATCAAAGCCGCTCAGGCCAAGTCAGAGGCAGAATCCAGCACAAGCAGAGGTCTAGCGAAATGGAAGTTCTCTCTTATTGGCCAACATAAATCCTCCGTATCGAATCCCAGCCCAAGCTCCCTCGTGTTTGAAACTGAGGTACATGTCACGCCCCGTACCCCACGAAGGGTGAGCATCCCACCTTCAGTCGATAAATTGCGACGTCCCAGGAAGCGTCGCCGACCCACGCCCATACAGAGATCAAGCACAAGCGGAAGTATAAAATAAACAAACCCAGACAATTACAATATGAGCCAAGGATAGCCATCCAATAAACAACGATCAACGCAGAAAATATGTACATACTTATATTACTATTTTAAAACTCTTTTTACAGTGTTCACGACAACCAAAAAGGAAACACCAACAGCTGGGAATAACCCAAACAGCCACTTCTCCGTTCTACTCCATCCCCACCGGGGTGCATGCTCGACGACTGCTGGATAAAAGGCGGTATTCCCAAAAAGAGGTGGTGACCTCGGCATCCTACTCTTTGGGGGTCTGAAAAGTTTCGGTTTACACAACCGTGAGACGAATCTCAGTGAGTTCAACCCCTAAACCTAGGCTAGGCTAGCATGCAATCTCCTGACCGGAAACAAACATTTAAAATCATAACACAACCATAATCATACAATTCTCTGACCTTGCAGGTTAGATAGTTCAATATGTAATAATCACGGGACATAGGTGGCACACATTATCACACGTACGCCAATCACATGCTCATACACCGAGTCTCACACACTCGCATGCCATTCAATGCATGTTTATGCATGCAAATGTCATTGACATGTCATGCACATTTCTTTGGCCCACTGGCCCACACTGGCACACTTGCCCAATTAATTATTATTACGACTCGAGTCATCAATTTTTCACGGCCCGGTGCGTCTAGCACGCTTCAAAGTGCATGAGGCGCAGCATCCGATCCGGCCCGGTGTCTCTAGCTCGCTTCAAAGTGCATGAGGCGCAACACTTGTTCTCCTTGCGAACCGAGCACGCTTCAAAGTGCATGAGGATGGTCGCCTTCCGGACGTACCGGGCATCGTCCCGCTTCAAAGTGCATGAGGACGGTATCGACCCGAAGGTACTTAGGTGATCACACAGCTTATTATTATCTGAACCCAGCGTATAACGCTTCAGGGTATTTTAGGTGATCACATGCTCATGGCAGACACGCATTCTCGCACAATTTTCATCACATGCCTCACTCTTGGCATACGCAATACGTGTCCATGTTATGCAATGCAATGAACCACGAGCACCAATATAATTCAGACAACCCGGGCATACCCGGCAATTTCACCGATGAACTCCTAAATTGGTCATTAAACCCTATTATCCTCCCCAACAATTCTCATTAATCCACTAAATTTTTCCGATAATAAATTCTACTAATCGGTCCTCAACCCCAGTCTCAAATACACACTGCTATTATCTAAGCCAGTCAAAAATGCACCGATAATACCTAAACCAGTCCAGGAAAAACGCACTATCAGTCCTAATCCGGGTTTAGGAATTTTACTCACCAAAACAAGGGTCACGACGACGGGGAATGGCGGCCGATCACTGATGAACAGCGAAACCGGCGGCGGAATTCCCGGCGGACGGCGGCGCGGTGTACGGACGGGGGTGAACAGCGATCCCGTACGGACGCGTGAACAGTACCACCGTACGGACACCACTGTACGGACGGGCTGGGAACGGTGGCCGGCGAGGCGCCGGTCACGGCGGCGACGGCCGTACGGTCTGGATGAACAGTACCGTACGGACGTGAACAGCCCGTACGGTCACTTTTGTACGGACGGGCCGAACGGCGACGTATGGACGGCCGAGCGGCCGGGTGTCGACGGACGGCGATCGGAGCTCCTGGCGAAGCTCCCGCCGGACTTGTTCACGTAATGGAAAATGAGAAAAAGAGAGAAAAAGAGAAAGAAAAAGGAGAGAGAAATGGACGGAACCGAGGCTGAGCTGAAGCGGGGGACCAAGGGGGTCGACGGCGAGGCACGGCGGTCGGCGGCGTGCTCCGGCGAGAGAGAAAATGAGAGTGAAAATTTGAGAGAAAATGAGAGAAAGTGAGGGGAAAATGGAGAGAAAATTTTCTGAAGGCTGGTCTGGTCGTGGGAGTGAGAGAGGAGAGAGAAAAAATGCTTATCTTAGTCAAAAACTAGGGCCTAGGGTGCCATGTGTCAAAAATCAAGCCAATGGACAATTTTGCCCTTGATCCAAAGGCTAGGATTTGCCCTAATCCAATAATTTAGGGGTGAAATGGTCTTTTGTCCCTAACCATGGTTGACCAGACCTGGTTTAACCTTAACTCACCTTGGTTAATCCCAAAATTAAATCCAATTTTCGGAATTAATCAAAAATGGCCTAGGGGCATTTTCGTAATTTTCCAATCCCGAACCGAAATTCCAATTTTCGCACATACGCGTTCCATATATGCGTGGCCAACATAATATGGCGTCGGAATCGCGAAATTCATCGCGCAAGCCCTCGAAAATCCACGTCAAAGTTTCGGGAATAAAATAATATTATTTTTTCAATTTTTGTCGAAATTCCAGTTTTTGTCCAAAATGACTCCTGGTAAGCGTGGCCACCCAAAAATGGCATCGGCCACGAAAAATAACCTCATTTGGCCTCGAAAAGCGACGCTGGCATCCTGGGGGCAAAGTCGTAATTTTTCACCCCCGGACCGAAATTCCAATTTTTACTCGTACTAACTCCACATGTGAGTGGCCAGCGTAATATGACGTCAGATTCCCAAAAATAGTCTCTTAAGCCTTTGAAAATCGATACCGAAATCCGGGCCCAATTCCGTGAACAAAACCCGCTAAACTTTCAATTTCAGAGTCTCTCACTAACGGGTGGCTGTTTAGAGGTTACACGTATCGACCTAAGGCGATTCGTATCGTGATGGTCTCGATCATTGAGAGAATGAGAAATTATCATTAGTTCCGGAGGTCACAATCATTAGGTTCAAGTTCGGATTTGGTTGACCACGTGCACTTTTGGTCTTGCGAGAATCACTGCGTCCCAATCGTACATCGTTGGCCTTGGCCAAACCAAATCCGTTACCTTTCCTAAGATCGGCTCACGTTGGCCCAAAATATTTCCTCAGAGTCTCTCGTGATCGGTATCCCTTTCGCGATAGGGTCCCCGGTCCACGTACCATCTTCTAGTTAGCCATACCCTATTGGTTAGTATCCCGAGAGTGATCAGCTCTGGGTGAGACTTACTAAAATGAAATGCGAAATAATATCAGTTTCATTGATCCCGGAAATTACATCGAAATTCGGGCTGTTACAGTACAGAAGATAAATGATAGATTGGAAGAGATCATCACCAGGAAGGCTCATCTAAGCTTGATTGAGAATGCTGTGGACAGATCTGACTATACCTACAAAAGGCTCCCCAGCACTTCTCTGCCGGAGCCTCAGTTTTTCGGCAGGGAGAAGGAAGAAGCAGATATACTTGAACTATTGACTGGTGAAGCCGAAAATGGCGATACCACACTGAGCATAGTCCCCATAGTTGGAATGGGCGGTGTTGGAAAGACGGCCTTGGCTCAACGGTTGTATAATGATGCGACAGTGAGTAGCTATTTCGAGAGGAAAGCATGGGTTTGTGTTTCGGATGTTTTTCATGTTCTCGACATAACAAAGACTATTTTGCGGTCGATCACTGGGTTGTCCAACGAGGGAGAAGATCTTAATGAGCTTCAAGTTAAGTTGAAGGACAATCTATCGGGGAAGAAGTTTCTTGTGGTGTTAGACGATGTTTGGAATGAAAACTATGAAGAATGGACTGACCTCTTAAAGCCATTTGAAGCAGGGGCTAAGGGAAGCAAGATCCTTGTCACGACTCGCAACCGTACCGTTGTTTCCATAACAGGAGCTTCGTCATATCCTTTGAAGGAGTTGTCCCTTGATAATTGTATAAGCTTATTAGCCTTTCATGCTCTTAGAGCAATGAATTTTGAGAGGCACCCAGATCTTGAAACAATAGGCAAGAAAATAGCTGAAAAATGTAAAGGTTCACCTTTGGCAGCAAAGGTATTGGGCGGTCTCCTACGGGATAAAGGGAATCCCGATCAATGGGAAGCTATCTTAAATAACAAAATGTGGGATCTTCCGATGGGGGAAAATGATAAGGTTCTTCGAGTCTTGAAATTGAGCTATGTCCATCTTCCTTCTCATTTGAAGAGATGTTTTGCTTATTGTGCGGTATTTCCCAAGGATTGCGAAATTGAGAGGGATGAGCTAGTACTCTTATGGATAGCGGAGGGATTTTTAGATGGACGAAGAGAAAAGGAGAATATCTTGAAATTGGGACAGACTCACTTTGATGAGTTAGTATCCAGATCATTTCTTCAACAATCCACTGTTGACACGTCGAAGTTTTCGATGCATGATCTTTTGAATGATCTAGCAAAGTCAATTGCGGGTGGGACATGCTTTAGCTCTGGGAAGCATCAGCTAGCAGGTGATGAGGATGATGCATCTCTGGAGAAAGCTCGTTATGCATCATTCACCTCGTCGTGGTGTGTTACATCAGAATGCTTGAGAGCATATCACCGAATGAAGATACTAAGAAGTTTAATGTTACTGCATGATAGATCTAGTCCGGATGACAAATTCCACATTTCCAACAAAGTTCTACATGACTTGCTAACAAAATTGAAGTACTTGAGGGTGTTTTCGTTATGTCATTGTTCCATAATAGAGGTATCGAATTGTATTGGTGATTTAAAACATCTTCGATATCTCAATTTCTCGTACACTGATATTAAAAGGCTACCTGAGTCAATTGGCGGCTTGTGCAAATTACAAGCTTTGATCTTAAGAGGTTGTGAAAAGCTTTCTATGTTGCCTCTAGGTATCACAAAATTGGCAAGCTTACAGTTTCTTGACATTAGAGACACAGGGAGTCTAAAAGAGATGCCATTATGTATAAGTAATTTGAAGAATCTTACGATCTTGTCCAAGTTTGTGGTAAGACCAGAGAAAGGATCACAGTTAAAGGAGTTAAAGAACTGGCCACATCTTCACGGAGAATTGTTCATATCAGAATTGCAAAAGGTGGTAGAAGTTAGAGATGCAATTGATGCTAATATAATTGGAAAGCTATGCCTTAACAACTTATTCTTGCATTGGAGTGAAAATTTTGGAATTTTGCGGAATGAAAAGCGTGAAAAATTGGTGCTTGACTCTTTGCGACCTCATACTAATCTTGAAAATCTCACTATCTCGTATTATGGAGGTGCAACATTCCCCTCATGGTTAGATGGTCCATATCTTAAGATAGTGTCTTTGTGCTTGCGGGGTTGTCCTAATGTTACATCACTTCCCTCACTTGGACAACTACCTTTACTTAGAGAATTCGAAAGTCTACCTGCAGTAAGGATGATAGGCTCTGAAGTTTACGGAAGTAAAAAGCCTTTTTCATCCTTAACAACTTTGCAATTCGAAGATATGTTGTCATGGAAGGTTTGGTCTCATTATGCCGGCGGCCCAGAGGAAGAAGTCCCATTCTCCAGTCTTCAACGTCTTGTTGTCCGAAGCTGTCCTTCATTGATCGGGACATTACCTTGTCAACTTGGTCGTCTCATAAAGCTTGAAATTCATTCATGCCCACATTTGAATAACTCAACCAATGTGGTTTGTCTTCCATCTCTCCGTGAGTTATACCTTGTGGATTGTAACAAGGAGATCTTAAAGAGCTTGGTCAGCCTAACTTCTTTAACCATTCTCAAAGTCCAAAATCTTGCGGAGCTTGTTTGCTTTGATCACGAGCTCATGAGTTGCTTGATCAAGCTAAAGAAGCTTCATATAGAACGGTGCGACGAGCTAACATACTTGTGGCAAGATGGAAATGAAACACGTAATCTTACTTGCCTTCAGAGAGTAGCCATTGAAAGTTGTCCTCGATTGACATCTTTTGTGGCAGGAGAAGAAGAGATAGAGGTACTCTGCAACCTGGAAATAATGAGATTGGTGGATTGCGCAAGTTTAGAAAGGCTTCCAAGCAAGATGCAAAATGCACTCAAAGATTTGCGAATTATTAATTGTCCAAAAATCAGTAAAATAACCATTCTTTCTGGTGACCCCAACAGCAATAACTCGATGTCTCAATTGAAATCTTTGTATCTTTTCCGCTGTATGAATCTAGGAAGCCTACCAGAGTGCTTTCACAGGCTCTCCCATCTCACTAAACTGGATATAAGATTCTGTCCAGCATTGGAGATAGAGGTCTTCCCTCCCCTTCCCATCTCCCTGTCAAATTTCGAGCTTCTTGACTGCCCGAAGATAAAATCCCTACCAAATCAGTGGCATCATCTCACATCCCTCGAGACGATATACATTAAGGGTTGCCCAAATATCAAATGCTTGCCCGAAGGAGGTTGGCCTCCCAATTTGCGGGGCCTTACAGTTAGAAGGTGTGAGAATCTGAAGCAGCCAATGAGAGAATGGGGCTTACCCCTCCTCACATCCCTCAAGGGACTGTACATTGACGGAAGGAGCATGGGAAGGGAGGGAGAGAAGGTGTGGTTTCCTTCGGAGGAGGAGGATGCGTGGAGTCTTCTCTTTCCTTCCTCTCTAACCGCTCTCGACTTGAGTCATATGAGGAACGTGGTAAGACTATCAAGCGGTCTTCGCAACCATCTCTCCTCTCTCGTCCAATTATGGATTATAGATTGCCCGAAGTTGAGGGACTTGCCAGAGGATGGCCTCCCTCCCTCCCTCCGACAATTGTACATAAAGGGATGTGAGATTCTGGAAGATCGATGCTCTAAACTCACTGGCGACTATTGGCCCCTCATCCAAGAGATCCCTCGCATCCTCATTGATGACGTTCAGATCCAATGAATTGATTTGTGCATCTACACTACAGTCAGTTTTCTAGGGTTTGGGTGAGTTTATGGTTTTGAAGGCATCGAATTCCATTTTGCTTCCGATTCTTCCATCTACGGTCAGATTTCTAAGGTTCGGGTAAGTTCTTTGTCTTGAATGCATCGAATCAATTTCGTTTCTGCACTTCAATTCGATGCTTATCAGCAAATGCAGTAAGAAGCATGGGGGATCCAGATCCCAATTGTGACAGCACATCCTCTTCCAGTATGCAAATTTAGCCAAATGACACAAACATTTGCTTTTCGCAAAGTAGCACTAAAACTCAGATATGAAAAAAAATGGTATTTAGTTGCTTGAATCCTTGCAAGAGCTTCCTTTAGTCTCCAATAGCACTGCTTGCGAAAGTTGATGACATTCTTGTATGCCACTGCCAGCTTTTCTCTGTAGCCACTGCAATGCTCTTTCGAACAGCAAATAATTCAGCCTCCTCTGCAGTCAACCATCTCCCCTGTTTCATTTCTGGCCTCAATCCCAACAATGGCACAATACGTAAGACCCGTCTCGGTTAATCTAGCTCATGGTTTACCCCACGCACCCTGCCTTTCATCCACCCAATCATGACTTAGCTTACATTTTTTGTTCGTATATGGATGCGAAGTTCAGGTACTTGCCAGAGAATGGCCTCCCTCTGTCCCTCCAAGACTTGTTCATATATGGATGCGAGATTCTGAAAGATGAATGCTCAAAACTCTCTGGCGACTATTGGCCCCTCATCCAAGAAATCCCTCTCATCAGCTTTGATAGCGTTTGGATCCAATGAAGTAAAATCGAGCATGCCCGACCCGTGATAAAAGATCTGTCTCCGTTGATTGCTTTTTTTTCCTCAGGTAATACTTCCAACTTTTTTCATTCTTTCGCTTTCATTTATTCAACTGCCGGGATTCATTCTTCGATGTAAAGTAAGTTTTCCCAGATTCGGGTAAGTTTTTGGTTTTCGAGGCATCAATTTCGATTCTGCTCCCTCAATTCGATGCGTAATACAGACTGATATTTGCCCATGGAGATGTTTCCTAAATTGACATTTGGGAGGGTGTTCTCGTTGGGTTGCATCAGCTCTGTTTTGTTGGACAATAAACTGTAGGACTAAATGCTCACAGTGCTGCCTCTTGATGACATATCTTCTACTCTGCTTGATGCCCAAAAAATTTGCTTATTTTTTCACTTGAGTGACCCATCATACAAACTGTGAATGAAAATGCACTATGCTTTGCAAAGAATCATAGCGTTCCACAATCATATTCCTCAGCATTTTCAGGTCTTGTTGTATGTTCTCTTCCCAACATCTTCTTCTTGTGCCCTAGCTCATTCACTGTGGTTGTTTTGCAGATACCATGGTGATCTGTATTGGCAAAGTCTCTTGGGAGGATCATGTGCGAACGCTGCTGAGGTCGGACTAATGGAGTCAATTATATGAGTCGTTTGTTCCTATTTAACAAAACACAAAAAAGAGCTATTAAGAACGATCTCTTCATGTTCAGGTCAATATTCAAAATAAGAAGCTTTCTTTCTTCCAGTTATTGTATAGATATTTGACGTGTTACCCTCTGTGGCAGGATTGTTTACTGTTGTGGATGACATCTTCTGCTTGTTTCAAGGACACCCAGAGGATGTTGCTCTTCTCAAGCAGCAATATGGATTGAACAAGACCGCCAATGAGGTCATTATCATCATAGAAGCTTACACAACTCAGGGAGATCGATCAGAGGCTTTACCCTGCTGATCAAGTTGTATGAGATGTCACCGGAAAGTTTGTGTTTGTGCTATTCGACGGCCCTCCGAAAACCACTTTTCTGGCGGTTGTAAGTAATAATGATTTTCATGGTTTCATTCTGAAATATCTCTATCCCTCCCTCCACCTGCGATCTATCTAGTCCTTTATGTCCTCTTAATCATACAGGATGTTGACAGAAGTTTCCCTTTCTTCTGGGTTAGTGATTCCACAGGTAATCTTGTTCTCTTGGACGATGCAGAAGTCGTGAGGAAGGGTTATGGGAAACTGTTGCACCATTTCCTAAAGGTATTTATTTTCACGGATCATTAATGCAGCATCACTGGAGTTTCCTCCGAGCCTTGGAACATGAAAAGTAGGGATGGATGAGTTCTGCTGATATTAAGCAGAGCTCAGAGGAGAATGTTACGTTGTTGGGTAACAAAATATTGGCAAAAATGGTTCCGAACCTAAATTTAAAACTAAAGGTTAACACGGTGTTCTTTATCAGTATGCATGTTTTGACATGTGCATTTTCACCTACAATATTGCTCTTCCAATGGTTTTCGAGCACCAAATCGTTCACCTCTTAACGTTGCCTTTCTTTTCCAACTCGGGACGATTCTTTACCAGCTCTGGAGGTTTGAGGAGCTATGAGCACCCACCGAATGAGGTGAAGCCAGTTCCTAGGGTGGACAGCTCTGGCCAAGTGTGCGGCGCAACATTCAAAGTGGATGCGGAGACTTAGGAGTTCAGCATGCCTAGAGTTGGGAGTGCTGCGAACTAGTCCTCGCACTACCGAGTCGTATGGTTTGTGGCCCTTTTTTGGCCAGGCCATTAGCTATCGAATGGCCTCCTGTTGCTTACGACCCAGTCACCCTTTCTCATACATTGACAATTTTCAACTCTAATGGTTGGTTGCTCTACGTTGAGAATTTGAGGTAACATTGTTTTATCCAGCTGTATATGTTGCTTATAGAACCAAGCCTTTACAAAACCTGATCAGGCTATGTGCAATAATATCTTTCTAGCATTTCATTTAGCCATCATGCAAAGAGTCTATTCAATGTCATGTTTTTTCTACTTAGATGTCTATTGTGTAATTGTTATCTCTACTAGTAAATTAGGCTGGGACAACATTGTTATATGCAGGAAAATGTGAACCATGATAACTAGGAGCATGCTGATCCTCCTATGGAAATCGAGTTTACACAACGCCTTGTGAAAGGTCATCTAAACTTTAATAATAGACAATATAGCAAGCTAGGTATTAAGGCCAAAGAGGCAAACTCTAGTGCAATTTTTAAGCAGTCAAAGGGAACTTGACACATGCCCATACAAACTTAATATGAAAGAAGATAGAGAAAGCTGTCAATACGATAGCTAACATCAAATTGCAGATTCAAAAAAAAAAAAGTGTACTTCGCCTGGCCTTCCTGGTTGGAGAGACCTCTTTAGTCCTTTGCATTGGCTATGCCCCCTGGTGTTATCTGAAAAACGTGTCTGTCAAGTTCAACATAGATGAAATAAATCTCAGTTTCATCGTATTGACATATGAGCTCTCGCTAAAATTTTTGACAAAAGTGATGGTATTGAAAAATTCTCGATATCCACTCTTTTTTGTTTAATTCCTCTGCACAAATTTGGTATTCAACGTGTTCATGGATCTCCATACAACATCAAGTATATTGTGAGCATCATGCTTAAATCAGGTCTCCACCTATTTATATGTACATTCAGTATCGACTTTCTTGCAGATTTTGATATGGACTTGCAGATATTTTACTTAGTCTTTGCAGCATGATCTCATAAATTTCAATAAAGTATATAACTAGAGGAAGATCTGGCACAAAAAGGATATAGCTTTAGCTTCGGGTAGGTTTGGGGCATTGAACACCTTGCAAACGTGCTGCTCACCTTTGCCTTTCCTAAACATCAACCTAATTGTGGCTGCGTGAGCCAGAACATGCCTGCCTGCAGGGTTCTTTGGGTCTGATAAGAATACACCACTGCCTGGATCAGTTACGACTGAAACAAACAAAATAAAGACAAAGTCATCAAAAACTAATCTTTTTCCTAACTTGTGAACTGCAGCTACTGTATGCATTGCCAGTTTACACCAAATGGCTGGTTCTTGAGATTTACAAGAACTAGTATGAGCTTAGTGCAGTCCCCAAATTGCTATTTTTCAGTGTGCAACCATCAAAGGGCTAAATTGGATAAAAACTTTTAAATGATGCACGACTATGTGGGAAAAATGAGATGTGATGCGGTACCTTGATTGGTCATGTAGACTGCCAAGTTAAATTCCTCAGCTATCTTAAGTATGCGTGAGAGCATTTGTGTCAATTTTTGCTGCAATTGGGAATCTATTAGTGTCAAACCAGATAAGCTGAAAAATTACAACTTGCATGATTTGATGGTTTCAGAATCGACCTAACGCTCTAAAAATTCTCCCCTTCCAGTAAAATCCACTCGAAAGAGCGCGATCACTGGATCCACAGTCTGAAGGATATAACTCAGCTAAGGTCAACCATCGACACCTCACAAAATGTGTGCAGTTTGATTCTCGAGCACTGTCTTACCAGTAACCTAATTGGTTGTTCAGACATTTTGGCAGCCAAACCAAGAAGCAAGTTGTGCTAACGCTCATAAGTATAGGCACGGGCATAAATGATCTTCAAATTCATGGAAAGATTAGATTACAGCAAGTACATTAGTCAGAAAAGGAGGAATGGCCACCAGTGTAGAAAGCATTGCTTACATTATCTAGGACGGCAGCAAGATCCATGCCAAATCTTTCAGCTATTGGTACAATTCGATCAAGGCGACTGCTTCTGCATGTGTACCAAGTTAAGAAAGTGCATATGCACTTACATGGACGTAAGTCGAGTATGAAACAAAAGCAGCTTTGTTGAGGTCAAGAAAATGACTGACAGATTATAATAGGATACAAAGTTCCGTCTGTGTCTATGTAAGCTACCTTGCCATTCCCCCTCTAATGTGAGTTGGCGGCTGGAAAATTTGTTAGGATCATGGAATCCACAAACCATAAATCATCATCTTATGGAACGGGATTAGCTTTAATAATGAGTGATGGCATAATATTGCAGGATTTGCATATAAAGTAGAGTACTACAAGTATCACATTCAACTGATGATCAACCCAAGTCCAAGTCTGACAATGATTAGGGCTTCTGATTGGTTATGACCTAGTACGCTCTCCTGGTTTTTTTCTACTTGGTTTGAACCACTGCATATTATGCATTCCAGTATATTGGCTGCAGATTACAGAAAATGACAGTGCCATCCTTCCTGAATCACCTAATACGCACATTCTGATGCCAAGATCAGCCATGGCTGTATTCTTTACTAGAAATTCAATCACTATGTTCATATTTGCATTGTTAATCTAGGAAACATAAAACGCAACAGAAGTTAAGGATGGAAACCTAAAAGGCAATTCAGACCAACCTGAGTAGAAACACACAGGGTATGTGCAAGTTGTGTTTTCCCAGACCTGAAGTGACGTTAGCAGCATTTTCTGAGAAAACCAACTAACAAAAGCAGGTAAAAGTTCATCAAAGCTAACGTTGTTGGACTGTGCTTTTCACCGAAATTCGCCAAATGCTTCTGTAATTGCCTGAGTTTCAATACCACCTGATTAACGTTTCCAGACCAGGGAAAGTTGTTTTTGTTGAAACGCATGAAGAATAATATACACAATCTGCAAAACAAAGTCTGTGACATCCTAACCTCGGGGTTATTAATGCGACGTTCTAGGTGCGTCATCATCCCGTTTCTTTAATCTTCTCATTAAGAGCATGCGGAAGCATACAACAAACACCCAGACATACAGTCAGGAAAAACAACTTTGCAATACACTACTTATATTACATGAGTGTATTTTACAAACCCCTTTTCTACGAGCCTTTTCCCCTTTTCAACACACTACACGTATCCGCGTAGGCTAGGGGAGATTCCTATCTCCTCTAGCATGATTACAACTCTCAAAACTGGTGTGAGACTTCTATACCTACAAATCTGAAAAAAACAACGGAGTGAATCAAGAACTCAGTAAGTAAAACTCACTAAACTCCGGATAGGAGGACGCCTCGCCATCGGACAATGCACATATCATAGCCACATCAATTGATGGTAGATCAATAACAAAGATGTTTCAAACACACTTGTCTTTGTGCATGAGATGATCTCATCTTGCCTTTCTATTCATGCAACAACAATACAACCAAGAGCATGCACACGAGGGATTCATTATCTTGACCGTTGGTACGATTCTTCTAGAAATTCTTCGGGCAACATCCCCCAATCAAGGGCGACGGCTATTCATCCGAACTTAATTGGGCAACGTCCCTTAATCAAGGGCGACGACTATTCATCCGAACTTAATCGGGCAACATCCCCAATCAATGGAGACGGCTATATTTTTCCCTTGTGCGACCATGCCAACAAACATCATACCAACTTGAGTACTTCACGCGTAGTGTATATAATGCCATATTGCCTCTAAAGTCTTAAGTCATGCTAGGCACGAAACCAAGTTTGTGGCTTGAACCGACCGGTCATGGCGCCGACCTACACCAAGCAAGGCTTGGATTGGTACGCCTCAATACCGACCCTCCGAGCAAGGCTCGTTCCGACACCCCTCGACACTGATCTGAACCAAGCGAGACTTGTTCATAGCCCGGGCATGCTCTCAAACATTATGCTAGAGCAAATCTTACAAATGAAAATGCAAGCACGGCAAGCTATATCAAGTGTTCACAAACCACGGAATTCATGCAAGCACCACAAGCACATGACTCGTCCAACAACATAACACGACACCCTAGCCAAGGTTTAGTGAGTCTACTTACAACCCTCCAAGATCATGGTTAGTGGTGGCTTAGTGGCGAACCGAGCAACACGGCGCGGCACGTGCACGGGCGCGGGCAAGGGCGCGGCCGAGAGAGAGTGAGGGCGTGAGGAAGAGAGGAAGAGGAGATAGTAGAGTTGTGAGCCAAAAGTGGAAATGCAAGAGGGGGCTCATCTATTTATAGGCAAACCTCTCATCATTGTTTTGCCAATTGGACCAATAGAAATTCTTTAAGTGGCAAGCCTATTGGGTTGAGTTGGCTAGTCTAAGAAGAAGAGGTGTCAAGCCTAGTGAGAGTGTGTGGCAAGCCTAGGCGTTAGGTGGACATTTGCCCTCTTCATATTGGACCACCTAATGCATGAATCATCCTAGCATTAGGAAAAGTGTAACGATATATAAGACACCTAAGCTAGGTGACTCACCATCCTTCATTTAATGTCTAGATTTGGTGTAATCACAGGCTTTGGATTTGATCTTATCCAATACTTGCTCACCTAGACAAGCCTTCCTTTCTAGAATCTTCTATTTTGTCTATTTTTTCAAGGAATAAAGCAAACATGAGGACTAGGCCAAAGGAAGTGCTAACTTGGCCGGGTATGAGTTCCTCGTGTCTATCCATGATCGATCATGCCTACTAAACCGAGGTTCGTAGCCGAGTCACCATCGAAAGTGATAGGTCTTGGCTAAACTTACTTTGAATGACTAGGCCGGTAGCCCATGGCGTGGGCACAATGGCTGGCACTGACCGGGCGCGTGGCTTGGCAGACCGGGCACACGGCCTATGCATGGCCTGGCACAGGGCCTGTCCACCTGGTTCTCGGCCTGGACGAGCGCAGGGCCGGGCGCTTAGGCTGGCCTTTGGTCTTACGGGAGGGTCCAAGTTAGGCACATGGCTGACTCATGGCCCGGCACACGGCTTAGGCACATGTCCCATTCGGCAAGGTCGTCAAACCAATCCGCGACCGATCCACGACCGGTCCGTAACCCATCCAAATGTCCTATGGTCGGTCCATGATCGGTCCATGGCTAAGCATACTTAGTCCGTGGACGACCCTCGGTTGTCATGTAGTTGTGTGGGACCGATCATTACGTGACCAACACACGGTCACACGGATCGATCCATGACCGTCCGTGGTTGGTACATGACCGTGCGGAACCATCCGCGATCGGAATAAGACAGCGCAAAATCGATCCATGATCGTCCATTGAAACATGGTGGTACAAGACCGTCCCATGACCAACCCCTATGGTCGAAAAGCCGATCCATAGCCTAATAGCTCGGATCACTTGTATGGTCATTTGATTGATTCATTGCCAATCCCTTGATCATTCCAGGGCCGATCTTTCGATCAGACCATGGCTGATTCCTTGGTTACCCTTCCAATCGGGTTGATCGATCCATGACTTATCCTTGAATTGGTCCATGGCCGATTTCTCCCATGATCGGCACATCAGTTCCATAGCCATTCCGTATAGCCGAAATCGTGCATGTCACAAAGTCTATTACCGCCTAAAAAGCTCATCGAGGGCTTTGCTTCCAGTTGAGATGCGAACAACCGACTTTCTCTGGAAACGAAGACATTAAAAGTACTTTGTGCTGTGAGGTCCATAGTGTTTAGAGCAAGTGCAGCTTTCTACAGTCCATATGCTAATTTGCAGGCTTTATTTCAAGGGTCAATGATTCATTCGGGTCTTCCGAACCATTTTAGTTTGTAGAATTAAGAACTTACTCTGAGCATAGCATCACTACCGGTAATATAACCAAAATTCTGATGAAAACAAAGGGAAGTTAATGTGAGATGCTTATACAAGTTCCAATTGATTGGAGCCACCATCTCAGGATAAAGAAGAATTTAAGCTCTAACCACCATCTTTTCAGCTGCTTCGCATATCTTGTCAACTTTTGCTTCAGATAAACCTTTGATTCCAGTAAAGTGCTAAAAAAAAAAAGAACAAAACAAAGAAAAAGGAAATCACCTTAGCCAAATAAGAAGAGGAACCTCAACTTAATTCTCAAAACTGAAGATCAGATATCTTCTTTGTATGCATCATCAAGCATTTCTCGGGGAATAAATGCTGGAGAGGTGCAACTGGTGGATCCCGAATCTCGTAGCTTTTTCACATTATTGCAAGTGTGGATTCCTACATCCTG